TGTGTCATCTTCTCCAATCCTCAGCCCTATGATGGAGATACCTCAATTTTACTGATTTAATAAAGACCCACTAACCCTGACAATGGCAGCTGGCAAAAGTAAAAAACTAAAAGGTGGGCAAGGGGCTCGAATGTGTCTGTCTGCTTCCCAGGGCCTTGATCACTTCCTCTTTCCTGCTAGCGGTACTTAATTTATTTAACAGTCACTGATGTCAGTCTGTGGTACTTGCAGGTGTTCATAGTTCTTTATATTTTACTGACACCACGGATACTTATCCGAAAGTACTTGAATCCTTGGAGAGCTACATGTGTAATTTGTGCTATCAGCATAGTTTCACTATATTTTCAAGGGAACTGTGACTTTATCAAAAATTTTAAAATGCATCTGGAAACTGTTTAAAATTATTTATCAAGCGTACCACATGGTACAGGTAAAATACAATATTACATAGAACACTGTGCTACTTGTCAAATGCAGGAAGATGAAATGCACAGATTGCAAGACAGTGCCAGCTATGCCATTAGCTAAAATCATCATTTACAACCATCACCACCATCCAGTGCAGCTGACTACATGCCAGACATCCTCTAGCTGCTTAGGATGGGTCCTGCAGAAAGACAGAAGGGTGACATTCCCCACTTCTGTGGGCATCAGAAACACGCTTGGGTCTCCCTCTCCCCTTACCTACTACTCCCTTGCTGCTGACAAGGCGGAGCCAGAAAGAACAAATGCCCCACCTGAGCACTTTCTAACTGGTACACCCTGCTTACTGGAAACAGACTGGCTGCAGGTATAAGGCCCTTTGCTAAGCAGCAGCTGTCAGTTTTCTCAGGATGACATTTTGGCAACTGATTTGGAACTGATAAAATTACAACAGAAGACTTTAGTCACAGATAACTCTCAGCGACCTACCTTGCAGCCCTTTTCTGTTCTTCACGATATTCAGCTAGCAGACTGTATTTCCCAACTTCCCTTAAAGCCAAGTATAACCACGCAATTTATTTACAGTCCATAGGGTTTAAACCAAATGACTTTGATATAAAGAAAAAGAATTTAAAGGAAGACACATATGAATCAGCTAGCTCATGTCTGGATTTTTATCCAAAGACGAAAACACTAACTAAAGCGGCTAGCTGCACTCCCATGTTAAATGCACATTAACTACAATAGTCAAGATGTGGAAACAACCTCCAGGGCTATCCTGAATGAGTGGATAAAGAGCAGCGAATACACAATGGATTACTACTCAGCTACAAAAACAGATGAGCCCTTTCTATTTGCAACAACATGGACAGACCTTGAGGGTAGGTCCTGCCAAATGAAGTAAGTCAAATGGCGAAAGACAAATACCGTATGCTTTTACTTGTATGAAAAATAAACGAAGCAAATAAGACAAAGTTCTCCTGCCCGCCTGTGATTATGCAGGTGCCTCTCTCCTTCTTTCCCCTTTTCCTAATAAACTTGTCCTTTTAAAATGTAAAGAGAAAACAAATACCAACTTTTAGACTCTAAGACCAAAACAGTGGCTCCCCGAAGGGAAGGGAGCGCAAGGGGTGGAGTGTGTGGTGGTGGCTGGTGAGTCTACACAGCTGCTGATGTGTACGCTGTACACCTGAAACCTATATACTGTTATAATCCCCAAAATGTTGCTGAATCCAACAGGATTTACCAGTCATAAAAGTAGGCAAGGTAGGGCCTGCCCTTATTAAAGTTAACAATGTTTACATTTCCCACCTATTCCCGACAGCACCTGCTATCTGCAAGGGTGGACACAGTGCGTGGAACTCCAGCAGACATCTTGGAGCATGAGGCAAGCTTGTGGGTAGAACCCATGAGTTAAGAATGGTGGGATGGAAAGAAGAGGACTCTGGGCCCACGGGACTGCCATGTGGAGAGGAGAAGCACAACCTTCCACCGTGTTCAACACACTCTCATTCCTGCTTAATACAGATTATGTCCATAACGCATGAAGAAACTGAAGCTCGGAGCAGGTAAAGCACTAAGTAAGCAAAGAGCCAGAATTTGATCTAGGTCTGGCTAACTACTAACCCTGAGGTACAAGGTTTAAAAAATAAAAAACAAAACCATGACCAAATACTATTTATCATTTTCTGTTAAGCTGCTGGATAACTACTACCAACAGACTGAAATAAAAGAAACATACAGCGCCCACATGGTCACCTAAATCAGGAAGTATACAAATGATTTCAATTTATAAGTGATTATATACTTCTTTATTCCTGGTACAAAGGTGGAAAATATAAGTTTATTACTAATCAATGTTATCAGGAAGCTAAAACAAAAGTTGTCCCTGAAGACCAAGGCAACAAAAACCATGTTGCAAGAGCAGGCCCTCTGAGACCTTCATGTAAACCTTTCAGTAATTATGGTTACAAACAAGAGCAAAGAGTCAGGTCTGCCCACAAAGGGTAACAGTCACGGCCGTGCCCTCCGCCAAAACCAAGCAGCACAGCCGACAAACCCGTGACACGAGGCCGCAGACAGTGAACAGCGAGCACAGGCCTGGGGGCCCTGAAAGGACACAGCCAGGCAAGCCCTGTCAACGACTGGCTTCCTGAGCGAAGGCCACTCTGGGCAGCAATGTGGAGAGAGGAAAGTGTACCAAACCCTCAGTCTTGCCAAGGTGAGGAAGGAATTATACTGAGGAAAAACTATAGAAATCTGCACGAAGGCCCAAGTCTTCGGCTGAACACCGCTCTGCACAGAAAGTGAGAGCCCACAGGACTGGGAAGAAGAGCAGCAGCAGGAAGGAACAGTGACTGGGAGGCAGAGGCCCGACAATGCCCAGGTGCACACAGTCCTTAAACAGCCAGGACGCCCTCGCGCAGCCCTCACAGGGGAAGCCTTGGAGCACGTGAGAAATCATCTGGAAGAGTGGCCTGGGCCTGCAGGGGGCCTCATGGCTTTTTCAGGGGATAAGCCAGGTCAAAACCATTCTCCTAGTTATATCTCTTCCAGATCACTGTCTGATGAATATACAACGGAGCTGGTGGGGTTCCCGGATGCTCTGGGACACGAGATGTTGTAAAAGATTAATGAAGAGCCTGAGTGAAGTTCTAGCCATCTCAAGTCAGGCAGCAGAGTCACAAGAAAAGTAAAACAACACTTCTCATTGCTTTGGAAGGTTATTTATAGTAACATAACAGGATAAAATATTTATTTTTAGATAAGTACAAATAGTCAACTATAATTTCTAAATGGTAAATAATGGTAGCTATAGAAAGTAAATAAAGGCTCCTTGGAATCAAGAAAAGGTTGAAGTGGGACCGAGCCACAAAGCTGGAGCCCTGCTGCCTGGGACAGGTGCCGCCACGCACAGCTCAGACATCGCACGGCTCGCACTCATTTTTGAGAAGGTCTTACTGAGGTCGCTGTTTTACATTACAGCAGCAAGTTGAAAAGCTGCATGAGTCTAATATAAGGTTTGCAAAGACTAACATATGTACTACCTCTATTACTACAAAAAAGTTCACTGATCTCTCCCTTAAAGGCTACTCAAGATCCAATGTAGAAGAGTTTTAAACATCAAGCCGCAAAAAAAGTAAGCTGATAACCTTAAGGGACTTAATTAACTACTAGAACAAAATCCAATCCTCTCAAAAATATCCAGCAGCGACAAGGTAAAATTTGTCCCATCAAAAATTATGAGACAAAGATTCAGAAAAACGTGACTCACAATGAGGAAAAAGTCAATAAAGAGAGACAGAAACAGAAGAGAGAATGGAATGAAAAGAACTTTCCAAGCAAATAGTAATGCATACTTATCTAGAAGAAACTACCTCAAAACCAAATGGCTTACAAAGCCACCGTTACTTGGGTTAGGATCTAACACGGCGGCATCAGAAAGGCGGGCTAGGTGCTGAGCTGCTGGCTACCTCGCCAGAGGTCCTCATGTTCATCTGTTAACTGGCATTTTTTTAAAACCTAAAATTAATCAAAAGAGATGACTGAGCAAAATAGCAGACTTGACAAAATATCAAGGCTATGGACAGTCTAGTTTGCAGAGGCAGAGAAATGAAGTCACCCGTATGATTTGGTTCTTGGTTTAAGCAATGGATAGCAGACATGTGGGTATTCGTGTACGCACACGCTATTATGAAAGTACTTTTTGTTCAGTGTTTGAGGAGACAATGAAATTGATGGCTGTCACTGTCTTCATTCAGCTAGAATCTAGTAAATACAGATTGTTTTTAAACAATGGTAACATCTCACTGTTAATTTGTAAAAAATGTCGGTAGTTCCTTTCAACATTTTCTTAACGTTCTCCTCTGTTCTTCACTATTTCAGTGAATTTCATGTTGATAAAATCAGAAAAGGTGTATATTCCTTATCGCCATGACATAAAAATAGTAACCAAGACCACATTTAATAAAATTTGCATGAATTTTGACAGAGGCAGACCAAATAAAACAGAAATTTTATTTTGATCCTGCTCAGCCCCATATTTAGTGGTTATCCTTTTAAGGTGGCAATTAAGTACTTCATATATCCCATGTTAAACTAAATTTTTCTTTGGCAATTATTAACAAATTTCAAAAATATTCCCAAGAGTGTGAGCCCTTTACAAATAGAAAATAGTTCACTATGTTTGCCTTTCATAAAGGTAAAAAACTTCCCTCTCTTCTATTAATGACAGTATTACCCACTCAAGGGACATGCCATTTTCAGAGGGTATTTCCCATTTAGCCCCTTTGCCTTAGCATTTCTTTTCTGATTGCCAAATTGGGATTATCTCTTGAAGAAAGGGGATGTCTTTACCCTTAATTTGTTTATTTAGCAGGTGGTAGCTCTAAGCCTACCCAACTCCAATCTTTTTTTTTTAAGATTTATTTTATTGATGCATATAAGAGCTGGGGTCCAGGCCAGAGGTGCAAGGGGGTGAGAGGATCCAGAGACAGAGTGGGGAGCAGAACAGGTTGATCAACTGAAATACACTGCTGAGGGGAGCAGCGGGGAGACAAAAGAGGTCTTCTGTATCGTGTGGGTCAGCTCCCAGGCCTGGTATTGAACTCATGCTGCAGTGGCTGCAGATAGCTTCACAGTGTGGAAACTTAATACCTTGCACCACGAGGGAGGGCCCTACCAATCTTTATTTTTCTGTAAACTGGTTTTGCCAGTCTGACAGGACCATACACTACTCTAAAGCAAAGGAGAGAAATATGCTTTTCAAATTAAAGTGGATTATCAAAGCATGAGCCTGATACTTCAATCGCATATTTTTGAATTAAGACATTTCGTATTTTACATTATATTGATATTCTAATACTTGAAGTATTTCACAAAGAAGCACCATAAACATACACCAAAGTGAAGAATTTTAATGACTGTTAAATGTAATACTGAAAGACCAAACTACACCATGACAGGCTGCAGAATGCTTCTGAACCAGCCAGGCCTAAGTTTCGGTTATCAACAAGGCGCCAAGGCCAAGTTTAACTGTAAATGTCCTAATCTTGCTCATCCCACAGCAACAGCCAATTAGCAAGTAGGTAGGTAACCAGTACATATCAGAAAAAATGCCAGATGTCCTAAGGTATGCGGCCGAGTAGTGAAGGTCACATCCTACATGCATAGATCAACCGGGTTAAGACAAGGTAAGTTTCTTCAGTGTCCGCCAATCATTGTACTGCTGAGCTGAAACTCCCCTCTGCTGGGCTAAAACTCCCCCCTTCTGGAATAAAAACCCTGCCTTCCCTGAGCTCAGGGCGCTCAACTTCGGCTGCTGCGTCACTGCCTGTTGGGAGCCCAGGCTCGAGCTTGCAATAAAGACCCTCGTGTGCTTTGCATTGGAATCGCTCCTTGGTGGTCTCTGGGAAACTTGAAACCTGGCACAACAATATGTGCTTTAATAATATAAAATCCTAAATCCATAGGGCTAGAGGGGAACTGGGCAGATCATGTGACCTAACCACCATCTATACCACTAGGCCCCACACTTGTCTGACAGTAACTCATTTTATTATCTGTGATTAGTCCTAATTTTTGATAGTTTTCCTTATACTAATTTATACTAAGTAACTCTAAGTCAGTCTCTGTCTTTTGCATTCTTCTAGAAGAACTTTTTTCTTCTGAGGTCAAAGAGAAGAAATGTAATCCTCCAAAAGCAGAAATCCTTCAGGTTATGTAAAGGAAGCTACCATACCCCAAAGCCTTCAGCAGACCACATGTTCTCATTTTCTAATTATGGTGCTTTACATTTTTTCTTCTGAGCATACTCTGTTGTGTTTATCAATGTTAGAGGGGAAACTAAGTGGAACAGGACACACCAAGAGGACTTCTTTGATACCACAAAATTAAGTTAGCTCTTACAACAGTCACACCCCACGGCTAACTAGGATTAGCTTACCGGCAACCAAAACTACAAAGTACCTGTCTCACTTCTTGCTTGGCCTCATTTCAAGCTTAATGGGTTCTTGACTGCAGATTAAATATAGAATTATAGCTTAATTTTCTACTTCACTTTTCCAGATACAATATGCACTATCCACTGATACAGGAGCTAGTCTCTAAAAACATTTTGATTTTAGAAACCATTTTAAGAAATTTAAAAAAACCCCACTTTTATTTAGGAAGAACCTCAGGGCTTCCCCTTTCTAAACAATGTATTCCTAGAGTCACCAACAGGGACAGAGCAAGACAGGACCTGTACAGCCACAGAAGATATGGACACACTCAGGCAGGAGCCAGATTTGGGGGTCAGACTATGTACTGTAAGCAGAGCCCTGAAGAGGAGAGCAGCAGGTGAGGGGTGTCAGAGCCTGAGTGGGGTTAGCACAACAGGTTAAGGTAGGCTATAGGGGAGTGTCAGGACCCAAAGAGGTAAAGAGGGGATCCACACCATGGAGTGAGGTTCTGAGCCCAGAAAGGAGAGAGGCAGCCTGGTGTGCGCATCACAGACCCAGGCAGCTGAGAGAATACACAGGAGTCAGGAAAATCAGGTGCCCTGGCTGAGGCCAGAAGAGCTGATGTGCACGTGGGGAGGGACAAAGAAGTGAAATGACAGCACTGGGCAGGTGCAGCAGCTATGTGAAGGAGCACTAGATAGGGAGGGAACTGACGGGAACAAGCAAGACTGATTACTTACAGAGTGTTAATGGAACCAATGTCATACTGAAGGGAAGGAGGACCAGGTTCTCATTACTGAACATGGGGCTTAACAAGAAAACTGGAATAAACCCTGTTACTCGGAAAATAAGTATTTCAAAACTGAAAATGTCCTGAAAGCTTCTAAGTTAAAATATTTTTTAATGGAGGAAGTACAAATTTTTTAGTAGGGGAGGTAAAAATTTCAGAAGTTTTATGAAAAGTCTGTAACTAAAGAACTAGCACTCCAATGTACTGAATCCAGCACCTGCCAGGAACCGTGCAAGGTGCCATAAAGAATTAGTAAAGGGAGCCCTCCCTGGCAGCACAACGGGTTAGGACACAGCACTGCAAGCTAGCACAGCCGCTTCAGTTCAAGTTCGATCCCCAGCCCCAGAGGTGACCCACAGGGCGCAGCAGACCTCTCCTGACCCGGCCGCTGCTCCCCTCAGCAGTGTGCTTCATCGATCTACCAGTTCTGCTCCCCACTCTGTCGCTGGTGAATGCTCTCACCACCCCTGCATCTCTGGCCTGTACCCCACTTCTATATGCATACATAAAAAAAATTAAAAAAAAAAGAATTAGTAAAGGATTAGACACAGAAAACTCCTCACACTTGCAATACAGTTGAACAGAAAAAAGACCCTCAGTGGCTCATGAAAAGCAGAATTCAGTGCATTTCACTATAGTTTTTATGTTCCTTTATATTTGATCTAAAAGAGATTTCTTTGTCTACTTATTAACCCAAAAAATGAAGAAATTGTAAATGCATTACCTGAATTGGATGTTCACTAAATGAGGCTGGGAACCATCTGATTGCCAGTAAGTTTCTAAATTGTCATCTCGTAACTGATCCACTCCAAATCCTAAAAACACCACAAATGACAATAAATTCTCATGAGGAAAAAAAAAAGAGCCACATATCCAAGACACAAAATTACCATACACATTTGTGCAGAAGGTCTGATAAACAGCACAGCCAGAACTGTGAAATGTAAGTAACCAGAATTCTTCTATGGTCTTAACTTGACCTCAACTCTTAAATGTACACACAAAAGATTATACAATAGGACCAAGCTTTCTTGTTTGTTGGCTTCAATTTTTAAAGAACATTCTCTAAGACATACTTTAAAGTCAATATATTTTCAAACCTAATTTCTTATACTTTCTATGAATGAAACTAGTAAGAATGATCCCCGTCTTAGAAAACCTTAAACAGAAAACAGATTTTAATAAAGTCAATACACCATATTTATTCTGACAAGAAAAAAGAACATCTTAGAAATACTTTCAAGTCACATACATTTTGAAGCCAAATGTTTTTTCTGATTAACATTCAGACTCATCAAAAATTAAATTTACCCCAAACCCTCTACCATCCTCCCATTCCAGATAACGTAAGTAAAACTTGCTGTGCTGCTTTTTCTTAATTAAAACCATAATGATTTACATTAATTACAGAAATAATTTACGTGGTAAAGTATAGATTCTTCCAAAAACTGAAGAGAAAATAGCTTTAATTGGGAGAGGATGATTTAAAAAATCATTTAAAAAATCATTGTTCCTTTCATAACAATTTAAACTTTTTGACTAAGTGGTATATTCATTACAAATTAAACTCAAGAGGTGCAAAAATGGAAATAATTGAGTCTCTAGCCCCCTCCCTCTAACCTGTCTCTAGTATACTCAATAGTACCAGTTTCTCACATACCCTTTAATAGACGAAGTACATATTGTCTCTTTATGTTCTCTCACTGTGCAAATGATGGCATACTACCTGGTTCTACCTTTGTGGGTTTTTTTCACTTAGCATATCTGGAAAATTACTCTGTATCAATATATGAACAGTAATAGTAGTAGTAGCAACAAACACTGACATCACATGCAGACAAACATTAAGCACCAAACACCTAGGAAGTCTTAATAATTATTACCTCAGTTAACCTAGACAGCTTCAATGTTTATAAAATCTCCCATAGCCTAAAAATATAATCATTTAACCAAAGCCTTGTAGGACATCTGTTTCTAGTGTTTTCTAGATTACATTAGATTACAATAAACATCTACTACTTATAATTTTAAAGTACATGTTAATATTTCTGCAGAATATATTTCTAGGATTAGAATCCTGGGTCATCTGAATTTTACATTTGATAAAACACTGTCAATTTCTCCTCTAAAATGCCTCTTCACCAATAATGTAGCTCATCCCTCTATTTGGTTAAGAAAAATTGAGATGTTCTGACACCTTTACATTAAATTTTGAATACTTAGTACAAATTTCTGCCATATTCTTTTGGTTCTAGAGACCAGTTTGATATAATGTAGGAAAGTTCTACAGAGAACTTAAATACCAGCAGACAAAGATAATCAGAACCACTTTGGAAGCTGGCTACCACAAGCCTAATGTCCATTAACTCATGCACAGCTAAATAAACCGTGGCACATCCATCTATACAACTAAACAGTCATAAACAAAATAAAGAAACTACTGATACATATAACAGCACGGAAAAATCACAAATACGTTATGCTACGTGTAAGAAACCAGATCCAAAAAGCGCATACATGATTACAGCTATAAGTTATTTTGAGGAAAACAAACAAAAGGACTGCAAAACAGATCAGAGGTTGTTAGGGGCTTAGGAGGGGAACAGAAAATTGTTCACACAGAAACAGGAAGGAATTTTTTGGATGATGGAACTATTCTGTATTCATGGTGACACTGCTTTCATGACTGTATGCTTGTTAAAAGCCATAGAACTGTGCACCTAAAACGGATGAGTTCTATTCCAAGTGAATTACACCTCAATAAATCATTCATCAAAAGAAAAAAAAGGAATCTTAAGGGGAAATAGAATGGGCTCGGTTGGGAAGACAGCTATAGGAGTCTTAATGTGCAAATAATAAGTTTCTGAAAGGAAACTTTGGCCGGGAGGGTAAGGTAGGTCTTCGGAGTTATTTTGGGATATAAACCACTCAAAAAATATGCCACTCATTTATCCAATCTAGAGAGGGGGCAATAAACACCAACCAAACAACACAGCAGAGAACACTTAGAACCTATGATCAAGTTATTTTTTAAAGTGACTATTAGTAAAACAATTGGGAAGAATATAAAAATGAATGAAGCCCCCATTAAATTTATTTTACAATTAAAATAAATAAAAAGAATATCTAGAGTACAGGCAAACTGCAGTAACCAGTACAAACATCTCTCCTGGGTTTTGTTTTGCCTCATGTCACCTGGTTTGCAAGAAGAGAGTGACCAAACAGCCTGTGACCCAATTTCCCGCACTGTGCCAGTCCTTTCCAGCTGCTTAGGATCCGCACCAGGAGGTGTCTTGTTTGGGGTGGTCATTTTTTATATAGTCTGTGTAGAAAAGAAAAAGAGGTGCACATTATGGCAGGACCTGAGTGTCAAAAAAAAAAATTAATACCAAAATGCATCATTCATATATGCTTGATACTAACCTACTGCTCAACCAGAGGCAACATAATTCAATCACTATAATTATAAATATTGGGAATTCAGCTCTGGTTTCCAAAACACATTATGATTTACAACATGTGCAGAGCCGCAGATTAAGGTAATGAAATGGGCAGAGCATCAGGATTTCAGCTTTGGCCTCTCTTTTACCAAGTTTAGACTGTGGGCAGGTCTGGGATCCGTTCCTTTCCTGTTAATGGGGATGACATGACCTATCTTTCTGTAATACAAGGCAGTTCTATTCTTCTATGAGCAAAACTTCGTATGTCTGTGTGTGTGTGTGTGTACCTAGGAATGTATGTATCCTTTATTCAAATGAAGTTGTTGCCCTAAAAAAAAATCAGGTTGAAAATACTCTTTGCACTAGTTTCAAAGTGCCATTTATATGTGCTCTTACAAGCTAAATGAGCTAGATGGCTTCAAGGTTTAGAAGTAAATAATTCATTTACTGAACAACACCTAAAGCTGCTTCAGTCGCATCAAGTTACAGCTACTGAATTTCGCTACAGGCGCCCTAATAAACCTGCCCGACAGTCCTGCATGCCTTGTCCAGGACACCTCCTATCAGACCTCAGTTCCCAAACCTCCACACACACACTTGATATTTATTAACTACATGAAGCCACTGCACTGTAACCTTCTGAACGGTCTGAAACTAAGAGATTAAATCGGTGATTTACTGAATGAATAGATGGATGGCCAGGTTCGAGCATAGTCAAGTATTGCCACCTACCAGTTCAATAAGGTCTAGGAGAAGACTATTAAACCTATCACCACTGTGACAAGCTGACTGTCCTGCCATCGTCCAATGTCAAAAAAAAAAAGTACACACAGAGGCTCGTCTCTACACTGAGGTAGAATTCAACTGCCGGACTGGACCCCCGAGTGGAAAAAGCCGGGGCTAAAAGGGTTTGGGCCACACAATTCAGAAGGAGCTGACAGCCAGCAGCGAGCGCGAGCAAAAGCAGTGTCTGGACCAAACTGTCGAGCGGCTCGACCCCTCTGCTAGAAGCGCTGGAATGAACAACAGCTCCAGTTCCATTCTGGACCCAGCAGGCTGAGGTGATCGTGAGCATGGAGACCCAGGAAGAGAACGCCTCTTCGGTTGCTAGAACCATCCTCCCCGTCAGGGAAAAGCCTATGCACTTACAGTTTGCGGACGCACTGGCCGCCACGCGGGGCTTTCGGCTGCCCGCCGCCCCGCGCCACTCCCACTGGGCGGCTGGCGACAGGCTTCCCAGCCGGGTGGACGGGGTCGCAGCCCAGTGACGTCACCCTCGTGCCGCGCGCTGCCTTCCCCCGGGCTCCGCCTGGCGCTGGGGTCGCGCGTACGCACGACGTCTACGGCAGGCGCGAGGCGGCGCCTGGGCACCGCCATTTTGCCGGTGGCCGTAGGAACACGCTGTGTGAAGTAAAGGCAGGAGCCCGCTTGGCCTCGGCGCGCCCCTCCGCCAGGGGATCGTTTTCTCCAGGTAGGTGAGGCGTCTGGAAGGGGCAGGCGGTGAGCGGCGATCGCCACGATTTCGAGGCCCTGGGGAGGCGCTCGGAGAATGTGTGTTTAGGCCGCAGGTGGCGGCCGTGGAGACGGCTTCAGCGCGTGGCAGCTGGTTCCGGCGGGACAGCTGGAACCGCCGGGGCCCCGAGGGCCTGGGGACGCCTCGCGCCCCACTCCGGCTGATCCGAATCTCGGCCGCTGTGACCACCACCCCCCGCCCAGGGGCGACGGGAGTGGGTCCCAGTTGTCACCGCCTCCGCTACCCACTTCCACCGCCTCCCTCGCTGACCGGCTCCTCCCTGGAGCGGAACCGAGAGGAAGGCACCTTCAGAGCTTGCATCTTCAGGACCCCTCTCTGTCCCCCGACAGGGGTGGATCGAGTGTCCCATCTGCGATCTGGCTGTGGGGAGTCTTGGCTTGCGGTGATCGTGGAATGAGTCATGGCATCTTGCCGCCATGAAGTCGAAGACTCCTTGTCCACTCCCCGTCTTTATAGACAGGAGGCTGTGCTGGTCTCGCAGAGCAGCGTGCACTCGGCGGCAACTGGACTGATCCCAAGTCAGCGCCCACTTGGTCGCCGACAGCCTTTTTTGCGCACTCGGCACTTTAACTAGGTGGCTGTTTTCTCTTAGACTCCTGATCGCAAAGTTGCCTTCGCTCGAAATAACCTTTTCTCTTCAGTGGTTCATGCTCTGGAGCACGAGAAACTGACAGCCACATCCCATAAACTACAAAGCCCATTTTCTTCCGCTTTCGTTTTGGTGGTAAACTGCATGTGAGAAATTACCGTCAAAACAGTGCTGATTATGATGACCCTCTCTTTTCCCTGGGCTGCTAAGTGGCCATTATAAGCGTGGCATTTATGTTGCCGATCTCGGTTGTTTGCCCCATATTTATTTTATTTCACTTTATACCAGCTCTGTGACTAACGATTTGTGAGGGTTGGTCACGGGCTTATCTGTATTTGAATCAAGGTTTCTATTATTAAAAACCTCCCTTAAAAATTAGGGAGAACATTTAACATAATTGCTGGAAGACAGAAACAAAGGCAGTACTAATTTAGTGTTCCTTCAGTTTAAGAACCTGACATGAAAGTTGTGAACCACTCTCAACCGATGTTTTAAGGCATCACCTACCACAAGCATAATCACACAAATGATCAAGCCTCACTTGTTAACACAGACTTTTCAGGGCTTTCTAATACACTTCCCTACCTTTTACACTCCTATCTGGAAGAATGACACTGAGAGCCATTATTTGAACAGTTTGTTGCACATCTGAAATATCTTCAAATCCTTTGTTCTCAGGAATCTTATTTCTCTTCCCCTCCTAGCTTTACTGTGCTATATCTTTTTTCTTGGAAAAAAAAATTTGAAGCCTAGTTTAGCAAGTTAATGAATAGTGCTTAAATGGTTCTATAAAACAGTTCAACAAAGAATATTCATTTTTCTTAAAGACATAAGTGATCAATATTTTTATATCAATTAGCATCTTTCTCTGGTATGTTTTTATTCTATAAAAATCACCTCTTGCAATCTTTTTTTTTTAAGTGGTTTTGAAAAGTTAAGTAAAATGTTTTTAATAGTTTGGCAGAAATAGTTTAATGGAAGCAATTTTGTGATTAAATATTTATCCTCCAGAGTGTAATTCATTGCACTCATTTACTAGGTAATTTGTGTGGTGTCTAGTTTTAGCAACTAAGTAAAAGATCTCTGATTTTTAGGGAGTTGTCACATTTAGAATGATAGCAATTCAAAGCTCATTTAAGTCCCCCCCCCCCACTAATTTTTACGAGACTTGGACTGGTTTTTAAAAGTTTTAAATGAAGTAAAGTGAACCTCTGGTAATAACTCCATTCATTATATAGTCTCCTTTTTAGGATTTTTGTTTGCTAGCTTGCTTGCTTGTTTTTCTTTTTCCAGTATATACTTTATGAAATTATAATCTATAAGAAAATTATTTATGTTTAAATTCATTTTCTCATTCATCCAACACAAATATTTGTGTTCCTACTGTGTACCTTATAAGCACTTGTCCAGCCACTGGAGTCCCTGCTCTGTGTATGGAGTGCATTGTACTTGGGGAGGGAACAAACTGTGTGTGTGGAGAGAGAATATGTAAATATCTATATATAAAAACAATGAATATGCACATACATTTGTGTGAAGTGTACACTGTGTCATACAGTAGAAAGTGCTTAGGTCAAAAGGGGGAGGCAGATGGGTGTGTTTTATGCTTATATACTCAGCCAGGAAAGGCCCTAAGAAATCAGCATTAGAGACTGGAAGGAGGGAGCCATGCAGCTTACTGGGCAGAATAGCATTCAGGCAGAGGGAACAGAAAATGCCAAGACCCTGAAACAGGAACACGTCTGGTATGTGCTAAGAACAGCAAGGATCCTATGTGGCTGGAGCAGAATGAACAAAGGCTACAGTAGTTGGAGAATTGATCGAAAATTAACAAAAAATCAATTCTGATTCTAGGTTATTTTAAGCACTTGAACTTACAGTGTGAGTAGGAAAGCCACTGCAGGATTTTAAGTAGAGAAGTGAACACGATTTAGCTTTTACTTTCAAAGGATCATTCTAGCTCCTACATTGAAAACAGCTATCAAAGCTTGCAGTGGCAAGAAGCAAGTCTAGAAGCAAAGAAATCTGTTCAGCCGTTAGAATAATGTAGATAAGAAATAACAATGGCTTAAGCCAGAGTCGTGAGAAATGGTCAGATATTGGATGTATTTGAAGGTAAACTCAGCAGAATTTGATGTGTGTAAGAGGTGGCTTTTAAGAATTTTGCCATGAGGAAATGGAAGACTGGAGTTGTGTTGTAGCTGAATGGGTAAGACTGCAAGTTTTGGTGGGGGGGGGGGGTTTCAATAGCTCATTTTGGGAGATGCTGGCTAGACTTTTAGAAAGCAGTGCTGGTAACCAGAGTACAAATTTAGGTTTAGGAAAGTGTTCTAACTAGAAATAGAAATGTGGAAGTTAACAGCATGTGATGATATTTAGACATGAGACAAGAATGAACACCTTAGAAATAGTATGTATTAAAAAAAAGGAATAGTACACATGACCCAGTGTTACAGCAGTCTCGAGTGCCCAGAAGACTAGAGTCACCAGGAAAATAGGAACTCCAGATGAATGCTATGTCCCAGACCAAGTTAGAAGTCATTTCTACTAGGAAAAAGCCTTGTGTTAAAAGCCATAAATTAAGGGCTGATAACTAAACATTTGTTTTAGTAATGTAAAGAACTCTAATGACATGACAAGCTTTTTTGATTTTTACATTCACTCAGACTTTAGTTCAGTAATTGATGACACTGTTAAATATCAAAGCTTGGAGAAGTTTTAAAAGCACAGTCTGTACATATAATTACTTGGCTCCTTTCAATTTCAGTGCTTTTTGTCCTCATTACAAATTCCGGCAGAAATGTAGTTTTTTTACTTTTCTATTGATCAACATGGTGATAACCTTAATAACTAATTGCAGAGACTATAAAATAATTTTGTTAATTTTTCTTTAATAGAAGAGCTGGATATTCTGACTTTCTTAGAAGTATGGCAGACAAATTAACAAGAATTGCTATTGTCAATCATGACAAATGTAAACCTAAGAAGTGTCGACAGGAGTGCAAGAAGAGCTGCCCTGTGGTTCGGATGGGTAAGCTGTTTGATTGCTTAAACAGGAGGTTTTCAGAAAAATAAACCTGACAGTTCTTTATGCGCTTCTGTGTATACTTTTCCCCTATTCTTAAGACTGTCAAAAAATAAAACCAAGTTTTATTTTAAATTTCTCTTACTACTTTGTGAAAGTTAAAAAAAATAATGATTTCAGGTTTATTGAAAGTAAAATCAAACCAGAGTGCAAGTTATTGAAGTTCTTATGTTCTACAAAATCCTGTTTATTACTTTTACCACACAGAAAAAGGGCTTTTTTATATTTGATGGTGTTTTCATTTTTAAAAAGCAACAGTTGAAAAGCTTGATTAAAAAAAAAAATGACTAGGCCCTCCCTGGTGGTGCAGCGGGTTAAGGCACAGCACTGAGAATCTAAAAGCCGCGTCTGCATGAGTTTGATTCCCGCCTGCCCCGGAGGTGACCACATGGTGTGGCAGACCTCTCCTGACCTGCCCGCTGCTCCCCTCAGCAGTGTACTTCGTAGATCTGCCTGTTCTGTTCCCCACTCTGTCTCTGGTGAAGCCTCTCACCGCCCCTGAGCCTCTGGCCTGTACCCCAGTTCTGTATGCACAAATAAATAAATCTTTAAAAAAAAAAAAATGACTATTTGTGAGGTTTTGCTATATTTTCAAGATTTAATAAATTTTAACAATTCAGGTTTGGTAAACTGTTGTAGACTTTAAGACTATGCTAGTTAGTTACCTTAATTATGTACCAATAAAGTATAGACTTGCTGAACATTAAAAGAAGCTTTAGATGTCTTTTATGATGGTCCTCCATGCTATTCAGAAATTCCATTATTAATACATTCCTAATGCCAAGTTTAATACTGTCTAATTATAAAGTGACTCCATACCTTTTTAGAGCTGGTTGAACTAGCTGATAAATTTCATTCCTTTCTCTGCTGTTTGTTACCATAACCAAGGAATATTTTTTAATTAAATGTTCACATTAGTCAGCTTAAAATTAACGACCTGCCATATTTTCACTGGCATAAATTCAGAATTGTCCTTACAAAACACTGACTTAAGATTATCTGATATATCTTAGATGTGTGTAGTCAGTGCTTTGTAACACTGATTTTCTTGTAGCTTTTTTGTTTTTTAATCTGCTTTATAGAAACTTGGGGCCAGAATTGCCTAAATAACAGTGTTCAGAAAATGAGAATGTCAGGTAAGATGACATTATTCTGTCTTTCCCTTTGGCAGGAAAATTATGCATAGAGGTTACACCTCAGAGCAAAATAGCATGGATTTCTGAAACTCTCTGTATTGGTTGTGGTATTTGTATTAAGGTAAGTGTTATTAGGTCAAATTTGTATCCTGAAAAAAAAAATGGTAAATATCTGAGTAAATTATAACCATTTTTAAAAGGCAAACTGTAAAACAATGAATAAAGAATATAAACTTAGGGAAATTATACCTGTTAAGCAATAATCTAATACTACTGTTTTTGAATAAATGAAACTCACTATTTAAAAGTTATCAGTTCTATAACTCAATCTTGTGAAGCCAAAGTTTGTCAAACTTTGTGAACCAAAATTCATTTCTTTTTTCTCCCTTTTCATGAAGACATCCTCCATATTAAAACTTTATCAGAACTCTGGAAATATAAATACCAAAAATATAGGCCATATTATGCACAAGTCTTATTTCCGAAGTCTGTTTAAAGTTATGCCTTTTTAATAGAAATGCACACTTTGCTATTTTCTTGATTTACTGCAATCCCTTGAGTACTTATCTTTTACATTCTTTTATGATTGGTTTTATCCCAATAGTGTAATTTTTCAAAATGACTTCAATTAGTTTTTGTTGCATTGAATAGTTTTGTTAGGACTTTTGACTTAAGAATGATAGATTTCCAACTTTAATTTATTATAAAATTAATTCAGGAATCAGTGTATAAAATTTCTTAATATTTTACTTAAATACAGTGTGTATTTGAACAGAGCTCTACCATAGTATGGATACCACCTGTTAGTCAGCTAAGACTTACCTGTAGTTTACATTGGTTTCTGAATGCACATTAATTAAAAAGATTAATTAAAAAGATTTTCCCTTGTTTTGAAATTATAAACAGGAAACCAAATGTCTAATATTACTACCAACAAATATTTGCTAATCTCATCATGCCTCCCTGTTCCCTCAGTGCTAGAAATCTGGTGTTGAACCGCATGTGATATACTCTATTTTCTTTTGTCAATGCTGGGATAAAATGAAATTTCAAAATGAACTGTGGCTATTGTTTTCCTTGTAGGCTAGAGAAGTTTGAATTACTTGAAGCAGAAAAAGGATAATAGAGATTTCTGTAGAAGTAACTACTTTGGCAGAAAAAAATACCTGTGTATAGAAATAGTATTTTTGACTGCAGGGTGGTAATGACTCTGTCAATTAACAAGAGTTGGTTGCATTTTTAATTTTCTTATTCTTTAACGCATAAAATGGGAATTCACTGAAGTCTTTATAGAGACTTTTGAATTGGGCCAGATTTGTTCTGCTAATCAGATCTATAAGATGCATTCTTTAGATGTACTTTTTTTAAGTAGCTGTACTTCTGAGCAATTTTTCTAGCCATCTACCCTTCTTAAGTCACTTTCCAGTTCTTGTCATTTTGGTTCCTGTGTTATAAGTTAAAATTACACCAGAAAGATACTAATCCTTGCTCTGTGCAAATGTACTAGCATGTTGAGACATGAATAAATGTTAAGAAGGTATGATATGTGGCCTTAGAAGACTTTTTTCAAAGTAGAACAGGAAACTTGCATACAAGGCCAAGACACTGTAGAAGAAAGCTTGTGTCGCTGATGAACATGCAGTCCTTACTTGACAGCCATGGTTTATCTTGCCTCTCAGCCTTCTGTTAGCTAATAATTTCTTAAAAATCCACAGGTTCTGGAAGGCTTTTCAGTAAGTATTAGACACATTAAATGTCTAACTATGCCATCACCAAGGGGAATGCAAAATAGTTGATGATTCTTGCCTTTGAGAAACTTAATATTTTTTAAGTAAATAAGGAATGAAACAATATCCCCCTCTGTAAAGGTCATGTTTGGAATATTGCTTATAAAAATTTTTCACCTACCTATCTTAGTCATATTTCTAAAAATTAACTTGAAATTTTTTGCTTTAAATAACAGAAATGCCCCTTTGGCGCCTTATCAATTGTCAATTTACCAAGCAACTTAGAAAAAGAAACAACGCATCGATATTGTGCCAATGCCTTCAAACTTCACAGGTATCTTTTCCAGTTAACATTCCTCTTTACTATAGCCAAGAGTAAAATAAAATGCATTTGGAATTTTCAGAGAGATGGAAAAGTTGGTATTAACCTTCCACTAAAGAAAAACAGTTTTTGAACATCTTTCTGGCCAGCAATAGAATTGTGTAGGTATATTCTGGAAAATATAATTTCGGACTGTCATTTGAACCTCAGTAAGTTGAAGAGTTACAGATGATTCTAATAGACAGCTGGTGCTGAGAATCATTGTTGATCACACTATCCTATCCCCAAAATAGTTTTTAATGGAATTTATCTTTTAATTAGTATTTTGTTTTATTCATTGTTACTTATTGATTAATCTTATGATTTACTTAAAATATTACTCTGAACTTGGACACATTTTATTAAATCTTTTTTTTTGGGATGTTTTTAATCTGCTGAATACTAATATTTTGAATCTAGGAGTCTAGATTTCACTAATAAAAAGGTATTTCTCAACCTGCCAGCTTTAAGGGGCCTACTGCATCAGGGAGAATGAAGTAGACTATTTCTGGTTCATGTGGCACTTCTCGCCTTGTAAGTAAATGGCAGGCCAAGGGAAAAAGAAAATTGTGAGGTTGCACCTGCTATGAAATTTATACCAGAGCATTTTGTTATACATTAAAACTGAATCTTACATGTATTCAGGAATTCTTATCTTAGAATGAACTTTGACTGAAAATTGAATAGACAAATAAGGGGTAATACTGGTCGTACATGCATTTCTAACAGCAGTTTACATTAATCTTGGCTGGTTTTGTTTTGTTTTTCCCCTAATAGCCAATAATATCTGGCATATATAGCTCTTAGTTTATTAGTGGATGTGTGTGTGGAGTGCAGTGCTTTAAAATAAATCATTCTGGTACTGTGAATTTTCTACCTAAATCTGAGTGGTTTTATTACTTTTATATGCTTATGACAGGTTGCCTATCCCTCGTCCAGGTGAAGTTTTGGGATTAGTTGGAACTAACGGTATTGGAAAGTCAACTGCTTTGAAGATTTTAGCAGGGAAGCAAAAGCCAAACCTTGGGAAGTACGATGTATGTATTACTGCCCTATAAAATTAACATCATGGGGGGCCCCCCCTGCGGTGCAACAGGTTAAAGCATAGCACTATGAACACTAGACGCAGCCAGTTCGATCCCCAGCCAGGGAGTGTCCCACATGGTGCGGCAGACCTCTCTTGACCCAACCACTGCTCCCCATCAATTTGCTTGTCTCTGGTGAATCCTCTCACTGTCCCTGCACCTCTGGCCTGTACCCCAGTTCTACATGCATAAATAAATCTTTTTTTTAAAAAATCATGGGTTGGTTTTATGCGATTTTGAAGAAGAGTATGTGTATACATATATTTTTTTCAATGTTCTTATTTTCAAAATTATTAATGGAATTTTAATACTGAGCAACTGTATAGGGGGAACTCTGTCCATTTTAGTTAAAATTTGTTACTGCTGTTTTACTGATAATTTGGAGTTTCCTTAAACTATTGTAAGTTGGTATGCCTTGATTTGCAATTAAATCCATCTCTAATTTTAAATTAGGTAGAAGCCAGAAGTATTCTATTGCTATTTGTTGGATATATGTCCTATTTTGTTTAATAGTTGTCTTTGCATTTGTGTTACTAAATTGAATCTTGATAATAATTACATGTGTATTTCTAGGATCCTCCTGATTGGCAAGAGATTTTGACTTACTTCCGTGGATCTGAATTGCAAAATTACTTTACAAAGATTCTAGAAGATGACCTAAAAGCGATTATCAAGCCTCAGTATGTTGACCAGATTCCCAAGGCTGCAAAGGTCAGTTTGTTTTAGGAGCAATTTATATATTGTATCAGCTGAGATAGAAAAGTGAACTTGTTTTGCTTTGTAGCTTTTTAATATTGATGGAAAGTAGTAGTAGTAATTCTTCCTGCTATATTATGACAGGGGACAGTGGGGTCTATTTTGGACCGAAAGGATGAAACAAAGACACAGGCAATTGTATGTCAACAGCTTGGTAAGTATTTGTTTCGTGTAAACATGTTCATCGGCCCTAAACTTATCACCAAGATATCTATCTGTAACTGAATTACTGAAGTGGGAAGAGCTCTACTAATTGTCATACTGACATTATAAAAGTGACATGATTTTCAATGAAATGTCATTCAAATCCAGAGTGACATGCAATATATGTTTTGCCTAGGAAGAGGTTAAAAAATACCTTGTAACATTGAATGCAATCCCTCTATGTTCTTTGTAGATTTAACCCATCTAAAAGAACGAAATGTTGAAGATCTTTCAGGAGGAGAATTGCAGAGATTTGCTTGCGCTGTTGTTTGCATACAGAAAGCTGATATGTAGGTTACTTTATACCTTTTGTATGTCTTAATCCTTTAGTTTTCACTTGTAATGCTACTAATAAAAGCAGTGGTTTTGAGAGAAATAGAAATCGAATCTACAGTTCTGTCTTTTGAGGTAAGATGTTGAAACAGTTACACATTTATTATCTTGTCTCCCTATCACTCCTGCAAGAAGTTAAATCTCATTCAGAAAAGTACATTACAACTTACAGGTTCCAAAGTTTTTAAATATAGAGTCATTTATCTATTACTTAAACTACATTTGTACATAAGAATATTTTTGAAGACAAGCTCTCCCCCAGGCCAGCGGACTTTAGGAGAGTACATTGATTAAAACGTAAGTTCTTTAGGTTGTCCTGATGAGGGTCGTGTGAGAGAATCGAAGTATAAAAGGCAAGTTTCCTTCCTACTGTCCTAAGCCTCCCTCCTCACATATTTGCTCCCATCTTTTTCCACATTTTTGCTCTGGACCCAGGACAGGCCAGCTCTTCTCCACCGAGTATTCTGTAATCTGTGCAGGGCCTCCTCTCAAAGTCTTGCTTTAATGCTGCTACTTTACTGCTTAACAGACTCTGAGAGACTTTCCCCAGATTTGATATGCAGTCCTGCTTTCCATGCTTTATTCCTTCCTTCTGCTTGTCAACAGAACACAGAAGTTTTAGCCATTATGGAGTGGATGCCTCATTAGCATACTGAAGGATTTTTATGGTTAAACCAGCAATTTAAAATAACATGCAAAATAAAATTAAGTCAGATTTACCTTTAAAATTATGTTTGCTTTTTTCCTCCATAGTTTCATGTTTGACGAGCCATCCAGTTACCTAGATGTAAAGCAGCGTTTAAAGGCCGCTATTACAATACGATCACTGATAAATCCAGATAGGTAAGTAAAGATTCACTGCATGCCCTAGTCATTTAAATTGGGTAGCTTTCTGAAAGGTAAACACTGCGAGTCATTTGTCATACACATGTGCATGTTTTCCACCCATTTCTTTACACTTACCACCTGGGCGTGGCTTCCTATTACCAGTACACCTTTCCAGGGAAGTTAGAAATTTTGGGAAATTTGGCACCTGTGTATGGATTTGTGTGAAGCAGGTCCTTAGCTTTTATTAGCTCCTCAAGTAGACATGAAAATTAGACACACACAAAGTATGAAACATTGTAAAGATAATCAGGCTGTTCGGGTTCCTACTAGCATAAGGACATGCTAGTTTTCAGTTACCTCTATTAAGTACTAACAGCAGCCTTTTGCTTGATATGGTTGTTACACTTAATTTTTTTAAGTATATTTTTTCTACTAAAGTTAACACAATAGTAAAAAACTTTAGACTATCAGTTAATGTTATATAACATTTAAAAATTAAAATGTTTATTGATTTTCAGATACATCATTGTGGTGGAACATGATCTAAGTGTGTTAGACTATCTCTCTGACTTCATCTGCTGTCTGTATGGCGTACCAAGTGCTTATGGTGTTGTTACTATGCCTTTTAGTGTGAGAGAAGGTAACTTGAAAAACTCTTCAAAATGCTGTGCTCTCTATCATGCTTAGAAAATGTATTATTAATATAAGTAATTATATATTGCTCTAATACTATTATCTACAATTTTAACTTAAAAATTTAATCGCTCAATAGACTATATGTAAAATTATCTACATCAGTTGTTTGAGAAAACATTTCGTTTTGAAAATTTTATGATATGCAGTGAAATAAACTAGTGTTACCTCAAATAAAGTAAATTTTTAATTTGAAGTTGGATCTGGATTTTCCAGGAGTGAAAATGTTTTATGAATTTTATTTTTTGTTGCCTTTCTTTTGCTATCTTAAAAACCTCTTTTAAGTTTTCCTTCATTAAAGTATTCACCATCTTCAAATTTGTCACAAGTGGTGAAAGTACTTGAAATTCATCTTCAAGTTCACTTATTGCTCATTTTATTCCAAATGTTTTACATTCATCTGGAAGCTATATCCTAAGTTTAGAACAAAGGCGAATGGTGTAGGAGGAAATCAGTGTATTTTAAGTAAGCTAGCTTAGTATAGTACTGCTTAGTGAGTGACTAAAATGTGCAAGTGACTATAATTTCATTATCGCCTTTACGTTCCTTAGGGAGGGACTCTGGCCTTTCCGTGTCTCTCCCTAACCTGCTGCTGAGTGCTCACGTGCAGGCCTTCCCTTGTGAGCTCTTTCCTATTTCCACACGCTGCTGCCTTACTCCTCAGCTTCTGTTTTCTCTTTCCAACTATACTCTAAACAGATCATCTAAAAGAACTTACAGCTCACTAGGGGAGAAAGCCCTGCCAAAGTCAGTAATTACTTATGTAGCCTTGTAGCTCCCTAGGTTGATGTAGCTTTTTTTTTTTTTTTTTTTTTTTTGAGTTTTCTCTTAAATGAGCTTTTTTGGTTTGTTTTGGTTTCTTTTTTGGAGAACACTACATGCAGGTTTATTGAAATACAGTGCTAAGAGAAGCAGCAGACAAGACGAGAGACGTATGTGCCAAAATAATGTTAGAAAAACCGAAGAAATTCTTTGGAAATGGAAATCTGTATCACGACCTAGCACTTGACATAAGAAATGGTGGTGACTTTTAATTTATAAAAAGTGCACATTATTTTAGTTTGAAACATGGAATAGGAATTACCACTTATGCTTTTATACTTAAGATGAAATAGATGCATCTTGTAAGGAAAATTGGTGAGATTGTCCAGCTTCCCAGCACTCTAGGAGATGACATCAGAACCAGTTATTCACTGTGGGCTCCCGTAGTCAGCAAGTACTTATTGAGGGGACCTGCTCTGTGCCCTGACTAGTTCCAGAGTTGTGGTGGTGGCTCAGCCCTGCGCCTGGCAGCTGTAACTGCCTTGGCTAAAGGCTGTGTCGTTCAGAGAAAGATTCCTGGTTTTTAGCTGTCTCATCTTTTTGTTTTCTTTTAATTTACTGAGATTAATGTAGTATGTGTAGAAGCTCATCATGAACTATAAAAGCAATTATAGCTTGAATTCCTTAAATTGACAAGATAAATAAGTGGTAGGAGTGACCTGTTAACATTTTTGAGCAATGTCACTTACCTGAGTCTTCATCTCCTTATCTGATAATTAGGCACTAATATTAAATGGCCACGAAGGTTCCTTCTAGTTAGTTTTATTTAATTTTGGTTTTAATATGTCAGCCACACATTAATGTTTTTAAAAGCTTAAAATTTCAAAAAAAAAATCCTGATTTTCACAAAATAAATATGTTTATTTTCTCTGTCAGTCAATGTCTATTGAACACCGGCACCAGCCCTGGTGTAGTCTTCAGTCCCGGTGTAGAAATGTGAGATTTCTAGACTCCCCTTAATGCCTTCCAGAATTCAACTACTGTCTTTTCTGTTAACTCAGTAATCCACATTTTCACTTCTGTATGTGTCTGTCATTACAAATCTTAACACTTCTAATAGGGAGGGAATCTCACGAACAATATGTTAGTTTGCAGTTTTTGTTTAGATAGTGGTGTTTATACAGTGAATCCAGTAATAAATGCTACTGTTAATTTGGTATTAGTAAGTTCCTTAATAACCTGCAATCAGTTACAATTGCAGTGTATGGTTATACTTCATATAAAAATAAATGTGTGTCACTTAAATTATTTAAAAAATTATTCCCCAGACTTTTATGTCAACACACAAATATATTCCATTTTTACCTACTTGTCATTTTTAGAGAGAAACTAAAATTCAAAATTTAAAAGCACAGCAGCAATGGCAGCATACGCTTTTGCATAAAACCTGATGGAAAAATTCTTATAAAAGTCACAAAAAGGAAATATGTTATATGGGGTAGGGATATATACACATGAATATCTATGTGTATGTATATCTATGCATGTTTTTGCATAAATTTTTTAAGACGTAGACACATAAAACACCATATTGACAAAGTATAATGTCATAAATCCATGTGTGGATTACTCATAGAGCCTAAGGTTTTCTGGCTTTTATATAATTTCTTGTAGAGAAAAAGATCTTTGAACTTTACTAATCTATTGATAATGACTTTCTTTCAGGCATAAACATTTTTTTAGATGGCTATGTTCCAACAGAAAACTTGAGATTCAGAGATGCATCACTTGTTTTTAAAGTGGCTGAAACAGCAAATGAAGAAGAAGTCAAAAAGATGTGCATGTATAAATATCCAGGAATGAAAAAAAAGATGGGAGAGTTTGAGCTAGCAATTGTAGCTGGAGAGTTTACAGATTCTGAAATCATGGTGATGTTGGGGGAAAATGGTAAGTTTCCTTATTTTGTCATACTTGATTAGTCTGTTCATGCATTAACTTGACTTTACTACTACATAGGAACTTTGACTTAGATAATGGTCTGGGGCCAGATTAAATCTTTACGTCTCACTGTGACTCCACAGTTTTTGTGATTGCATAATTTAACCTCACTGCCATTCAATCAAGTTCATACTTCATGATCTTCATTAAAAAGATGTTTATTCTTGGCCCTCCCTGGTGGTGCAGCGGGTTAAAGCACAGCACTGAGAATCTAAAGCCACTTCCGCATGAGTTCGATTCCCGCCTGCC